TGAAGAGAAAATCGGCCCCCCAAAATCCCCCCCCTCCTCCAACGTTTCCTCCTCGCCTAAATTACCGGCCTGTGCTGTGTACACCTATTTATAGGAGGGTAAAAAGAAATGGGGACGATCCGTTATGAAAATATTGGGCGCTTTTTTTTTTCCGGGGAGAGGCATCTGCTCCCACGATGAAATAAAACGCGAAGGGGCATTAGCACAGCGCCCATCCCCGGTGCCTCCCGCCCGCCGTAACATCCCCGTTGTGGGTTTTTTTTTGCCTTTCCGCAGGGAGAACACGGAAAACAACAACGCGGCCACCAACAAACCGAACCAACTCTCGCCTCTGGATGGGAGCAAACCCCTCATGTCCAGCTCCGAGGAAGAATTTTCTCCTCCCCAAAGCCCGGATCAGAACTCGGTCCTGCTCTTGCAGGGGAACCTCAGCCACGCCAGGAGCTCCGGCTACTCCCTGAGCGGCTTAGCCGCATCCCAGACCCCTCACAGCCTCCAAGGCCACCAGCTCCAGGACTCGCTGCTGGGACCCCTCACATCCAGCCTGGTGGATCTGGGATCCTAAAGGCCCGCGGCGGGCGGCCGGAGGATCGGGAGAGGAGGTTCTGCTCGGGGACAGAGGCTCTGGGTTGTACATAGAGGACAGCACCTGGTTTTACAGCTCACCCGCTGATTCTTGACGGGACTCTCGGCTCTTTCACACAACCCCACATCGGCTCCTGGTCCAGTTTCCCCCCAGCGTCTCCCACTATCACCATGATTTTTATTTTTTTTTTTTTTTTTCCACGTAGCCAAACGCAGAGAGCAGCAGAAACCCTCAGCCCTTCGAGTTCAAACGACCTGGTCCCAGCGGAAATTACAAAAAAAAAAAGAAAAAAAAAAAAGAAAAAAAAAAAAAAAAAAAAAACCCCAACCCCCCAACCAAAACCCAACCAACCCCAGCTGGATCCGATTCCACCCAAATAAATCCCAGCCCCGCAGGCGCGGTGGGGCAGGGGTGGCCGGGCACATCCCTGCTGCTGCCCGGCCGGGTCCCCATGGAGCCGGCAAGGAGCTGGGACGGAGGCAGAGGGAGCGAACCGCTGTACCGAGCCCTGTGTTGTAGAGGGAAGGGAAGTTACGTTTACATTTTTCATATTTAGCCTTACCCGAAAGATTTCGATGTAGTTTAAATTAAAAAAAAAAAAACAAAACCAAAAGGAAAAAAAAAAGGCAAAAGCTGCAGTATTAGAGTTTTAACAAGTGCCTATGTCTTATTGCGGCTGTGCGAGGTGGTTAGCGAGCGAGCTCTCGTGGGCCTGCGCCCCCCGGCTTCCTTCTCCTCCGGGGTGAAATGCATCGATGTGGCTAAAAATTAGGATAATAAGGATAAAAGTCGACGGCCGTTTCCTCCTGAACGAGTATTTCTCAGGCTGCCCCGCCAGCTCCACGTTGCCTTCTCCCGTCTGTCCCCGCTCACCGCCTTCCTCCTTCAGCTTGCAGAGAGCCCGCGGACGACGCTGTCTGTCTCGAGTATTTGTTACCAAAAATCGCATGTGCTTTCAGGTTTATTTTCTATTGTACCTAAACAGTCTAAATTAAACAACGCTGATGGCAGAACACCCAGGCTGCGCTTTTCTTTGCAGGGGCGAGCCCGCGCCCCTCTGCCCGCCCTTACCCCCCACCCGACGGGCTGCATCGGAGGCGCTTCGGGGGGGGCAGCCT